TCATAAAAACTGCAAATAACTGACCGTTTTTATTCTCCATGTCACTGTACCGGCCTGATGATGAAGGACTAAAAACAGTTGTTTGCCAATATGACTTTTCAATTGTACAATGGGAATTTTCGTAGAACTAATGAAGGACGGTTGAACAATTTTTAACTTACTTCTAAAATAATCACTTCAATTTTATTTCAGCGCCACTGACCAAGAGGCTTGCTGAACGGTGCGGAAGCACATGGAATGTGTTATTCACACCATGCGTTGTTTGCACATTTCTGACGCTCATGGAGTCGTTTACTGGCTGTACTGTAGAAAACAATGCTATGAAGCGTAAAATATAAATTTGTAAATATTTATATCCCTGCTGTTACTATATTGCTTTCGTCATCCCCGGAAGAGGAAGAAGAAGACGGGGCAATTTCTTAGACCAAGTTGTATTTATGCTGACTTTTAAAAAGCATTCTGGCTTCCAGCGTCAGAGCGTAATGCCTATTCCCCTGCTACTGTCGAGTGAGTGTGTCTAACCGCTAGCCGTGCCTGATGCCAACGTGCCGATCGATTGTACCGATCGATTGCTGGTGGTTGTTTGAATTGTTCGCGCCCTCGTGGGCGCCTCCATGAGGAGATGTGTCACGTCGTTTGTGTGCCTCCTGATCTTTTCCATCTTCTTCGCTCGCGGCTGCCGGCTGTCGGCCCTACGTGTCTTCCTTCGCCCGACCCACTGCTCCGTTCTGAGCAGATGTGCGGAGCGCTTGGTAGGCGGGATGAAGGTATATGACTCCGTTAAGTGTGCCAATTCAGGAGCAACTTTCTAGCAGCAATCTGGCCATCTTGTCATTGGTTCGCCCTATTACCCTATGCTTTCTCAAAGGCGAACGCCTGATTCTTCTGCTGTTACTATCCCTGCCTGGTTAAATAATGATAATCCCACAAGATGGACTGAGTAAAAAATGCTCGCTGAATAAGCGAAAAGTTGCCGAGAGGGAGATCGATAGACGTGGTAGTATGTTGAGAAAACGCTTTCTAATGTCTGCCTGTCCGTAACTGTATGCATTCGGGCCTGTCTAGTTCGGGAAGCCAGTGGACCGGTATGTGGTCATTCTTGTAAGAGGAATGCATTTTGACATGTAGCTTAACTCATCAACCAAATGCTTTTTGCGGTCTCCTGCCTGCTGGAATTTTTCTGACTCGAAAAAAAAAACATATTTTCATAGAATATTTCGGTGGAATATTTACCACATCCACAAACACAGCGAGCCTTCGGGCTCATACTATGGCGGAAATAACCTCGAACACTCTCCTCGAACGCCTAGTATTTCCTCGCCTCTGTTCACAAGATCTCCCTCGCACATTTTCAGTTAAAAGAATGCAGCTGAGAAAATTGCCTTTTCAGAAAGTTAACTTTCGTGGACTGCAGGTCTTTGTCTTCTTCACCCCGTGGGACGTTACCTATCTCCGAACAAGAAAAACAGCCTACTTTTATGATTAGGTAATATAGTTGGTTGCATTATACTGTATTTGCCACCCCGTCAGGGGCTCTATACAAGCAGGCCTTTTAGTTGCTAACTCCATCAAACGCGCGAAAACCCGGGCAATAAAACCGACTCTAGATTTCAAGTAGCTCAGGGAATCACTACCATTTCTGAGCCATGTTATATGGGCATTTCCGTGTAGATACCAGCGGGTGCTACCTGGAAGGAAGGAAGAAATCAATACAAAAAGCTTATCTTGCCTTTGCAATGCGCAAGCAGGGAATGGGTCTTAACCGACCAATTGTTTACTTCAAAATTACTTAGAAAATCTTGTTTCAGTCCTCTGATTGTACTTTCGATGTGTCCAGTAGCATTTCGGAGTGAAATGCGCGTTACTTTTACGCTAAATACTCACAAAACATACATGCGGGGAAGTTAGCCAATTTCGATACTGACAAACCACACATCGTGTGTAAGGCTGTTCTTGACAATTCAACCATCGTTACCGATGATGCCCACCGTATGCCCCACAGTGCAAATGTCAGGCCAACATCCAAAACGGGTGATTAAAGTTAATATATTAGGCAGATAGTACTGCCGACAATGACAAGGGAGACTATAATGGCCGTTTCTGGCATATTAGCCGTCGTCAGCCAGTCATATCCAGACCCATGTGGTGTCCCTCCCGGGCCTCGAACTCGCGACCTTTTTGATCAGAGTCAAACGCCCTAACCATTGAGCTACGAGCTCATTGTCTCGCCGGTTTAAGGTCGGGGATATTGATTCTCGTTGTTGAACGTTCATAAATGAGTTCGGATATTAGTGACATAAGTCCGCCCCACCAAGCAATTATCGAAGGAAACGATCCCTGATGAAGGTGGGAGCAGTTAATTTTCATTGGTATGTGATAGCATAACGGCTACACTATAAGAACTAGTGTAAGGACTACCGGTACCTGATGTTGTCTCCGACGATAGGTTCACTTGTATCCTCAAATCTTCCATACCATTAACGATGGCACTACGAGTAATTTGGAATCAGTTCTAACCTGTCTCCATTGCCGTAATGTATATACTTTACA